CAACTCAAATTAGACTTCGTGGGCAACGGTAATGTAGGACATACTGAATATTTTGAAACTGATTTTTAAAATTTTGGCGCTATTTTTGTCCATTTGTTTATTTTGATTTTTTTTGCAATTCTAGTTCGTTTAAACTTCTTTTTCATTACTTTTAGCTTTTCTAAACTATGTTTCCATGTAAACCCTTATAAATAAGGCCTTTGTTCATTTTTTTTTTCATTATCTTTCATTAATAAATTCGTGAGTTTATTATCTTTATTATTTGGTATTCCAAATTTTTTGTTCTTAAGGTTTTCGTTTGAACTCATTTCTTTCGCTGCGTCAAAAGGGTGTTACCCAACTACTTTATTGTAAGTTGTAACGTATTTGTGCATATAACGTGAATTCTAACGAGTCAATTGATGACATTGACTTTAATATTTAATTTAGAGTTTGTTTTGGAGTGATTTTGAGAATTGATTTTTTGACCGTTAGGAAAAAAGTGGGGTCCACCCGTGAGAGAAAAATTCAAATATGATGACAGAAATAATGAAATAACGGTCAAAAAATCAATTTTTTGGGTGAAAAAATCGGGCCCAAACAGGCCCTTATTCGATAGTGTCAATCAATAATTAATGATTTTGGCTTGTAATGTCAATTTAATTGGACTATTCGCCCAAACCCTCGCACCCACGCGCTAAGGCCGCCATGCTTTATATTTGCTTTAACTATGTCAGATGGTGTCATTAGATCTAAGAAATTATGATTTAATCAATTTTAAGAAACTATTGAAATAGAACTGCTTTGAGTGTTTATTAATGATTTAATTAAGTTCGTGCATCGATACCAATTGAATATTTTAATACATGAAATCACTAATTGCACGAGATTATTTGAATCCACTTAATTACTAAAATCAAATCCGAATTCGAACCATCGATTTCGATTCGATTTTACTCATAATTTTTTCTTTAGAAATTGTGAATTGACAATACAAATTATCTTATCCCAATTCATCAAAACATATTTAACACTTTCTTAATCCACTAAAAATATAAGGCTAGATATCATCCAATATATTGTAAAATATGTCACAAAATAGGATACAATATCTAGTACAGAATAAACACCAAATTACATATCCAAATAATAAACCAAAAACTAGGAAACAACAATAATGAAGTGCTAGATTCTAAATGTCAAAAACAAATAAAATAATTCATTTGAAAATAGCATAACAATCAACATTTATTAAAGTTAATGCCATAAGTATCATGATAAGAAGAAATGAAAAATAAAATTATAATTTTTCTTGTATACAATTTGTCACATGGAATGTTTAATTTTGATAGAGAATTTAATTTATGTATGTATAATACACAAATATGTGAATCCATGTATGATTTTGATACAACGTTGAGTTTATTTATAGCTTCAATGTACGGATAAAATTCATATATGATTTTGGACTCGATTAGTCTCGTAAATTATTTTGTTAATTTTGATCAATTAAAGTTTTATTAATAGAATTAAGCTCCCTGCACAGGGCCTGTACAAGGGCTCTCACATGGGGGTGGCGAATCTTAGACCTTTGTATGAAGCCTTTGTAATAACTACAAATGTCAAATCTTATCAACAGAAAAATGGTGGCTCGATGAGAACATTGAGTGCATCACAGGCTAGTAAGATTAGCCAAAATTGATGCCTATGATTAGATGCTTAAGTTAAGGAGATGAGGTCATGTGTACTTTCATCCAAATGCTACAATTTAATTTGTAACACTATAAATACCACACAGTGTAACATGAAGAAACTAATGCAACTCTTGACCACTATAGCTACTCTTGGTTTTCTCTCTTATTGGTTGTGCATTAACTTAAATACAAGTTTACAATATTTAACTTTGGTTTAATCGTGTGTGATTGGCGATTATTATACAATCATTTCATGAGTCTTTCGTCAGAACCTGAACACATTTGTCTTGCGACGTTGAGTTTCTCCTACCTTCTCATTTTCGGAGTAGTGTCAGCCAACAACTTGTTTTCACGTGCCGGAATTAGCTCAAGTTTGCGCGAGTGAGCACGACATTTGTTGTCCGTAGAAATCGAGATAAACAAATAATATAAATAAAATGCAAATTTATGAATTTATGTACGATTTTAGTATGTGAAATATACTGTCAACGCATTTAACTCAAAATAAAGATTAAAACAATAATGTCCGAAAAAAGTATAAACTAGAAAGTTGTTGTTTAGTACAAGTTGAAATTCCCTCGTATTTTCGCCAAATAAACCAATGACTTACGAATGGGGACATATTTTTGTTCTTAATTTTTAATGAAGCTTTTCAAGGAAAAAAAAAGGTTTATATAACTGATCAAAACTTTGTTTCTAATAAAATTTAGTCCCTGTTTGGTGAAAATTAAAATTAGATTTTTAATAGCTTTTGATAAAAATTGATGGAATCTCTAGTTGAAAAATTGTAAATCATATAAAATATAACATTAAAATTAATTTTTTACTTTAATTTTAACTAATACCGCCAACCACACACACCTCCGATGTGTGTCTCGCCAAAGAAAGCCGAATTTGCAGTAGCGATGGGTCATTGGATCGATGACAGAGACTATGGAGATGGGAGATGAGAGAGTGAAGAGAGAGAGGGGTTTTGGAATAGAATATAGTAGATTAATTAATTTTTATATATATATTAATTAATTAATAAAATAGTAAATTTCACATATGATTGATGAAATGGGATCTTTAAAAGTATTAGTCACTGTATTTCCATGAATGGGAATTTATTATGTTGGCTTGTTTGATAAGAGAGTGTTTGAAAGCCATTTTTATGTAAAAATATATTTTGAAATAATAAATTGATGAAAAATTTGTGGTTGAAAAATAAGTAAAATTTTTTAATTTTCGTATAATATTATTTTAAATGAAAAATATGTGGTTAAAAAAAAAAATACATTTTGAAAAAAATGAGTATCAAACGAGACCTAAGTGTGACAGCAGACGGCGCATGGGCCTTAACAAATAATTATCCATTAAAGAAGGGTCCAATCAACCATTGCTGCAGGGGGCCGTCTATGGAGAACAGCGGCAACAGAAACAATAATTGCACCATTTTTAGTGTTTTTGAAAATGGTAAACATTTTCAAACTTATAAACCGATTAAATATTATTTTCATTCGTAAGATTTACATAGTCACGGTTTTTATTAACTTTTATCTACATATATTAAATTTTATACGACCTTCTTCCTAATTTAACACTAGTTTTTCTTGCTACTCATCGATTTACCTTTTCTTGGATGGTCGTGCTCTAATTCCTTTGATTAACCAAGTTATGGTCTATTGCGATGGGATGCTTCCCTTCAATTTACCTTATTGTGCAAATTAAACTCAAAATTTGAACTGCGTTGTTGTAAATTTTAGAAGCAAAATCCACGGCCTAGGTTTGTTGAACGATAAACTGTTTTATTTTGTTAAGATTGGTGGGGAGAAGACATGCTAGGAGAATAAGGTTACGAGTCAATGCATTCAAACCGCGGTGTTCCTTTCACTTTTTTGTCTCTCCTTTTATTTTTCAAATGGGTCATGACTATATATGTAAAATAGATATGATGTAATGTTTGAAAAATATATTTTCGTCACTGTGCAATTGTAATGTGGTGTAATTAATAAATTTCGTGGTCCATTTAAACACATCAAAATAGATGAATTGTTGATATCGTAACCAATTCAAGCTTTTAAAATTCAAACTTGAAACCTTTTCAAATGTAAGGAGATGTGAAGATCACGTAAACAGGTCCACACGTTCCAAATTTTGATCTCTTTGGTTCAATTCTAACAACATAAACAGTCAATTTCAATCATTTTCAATTGACAATAATCCAACGATTCGTTGCTTGCTTAATGTTAAATTTGTACTAAAAGTCGTATTGATGTAAACTAATTCTCACAAATGTTAACCAAATAACTTATTCGATGATTATTCGAAATCTTTTTAACGATAAATTCTGTGTGGTTTAGATAAACGTAAAAATTATACACTGATTTGCCCAAAGAAATAGTAGGACAAGTTCTTAATCCAAAATATCATTTTATGAACACTTTCTTTATGCAGAGTTTGTGACCAATCCTATTCGATTTTGCTCTACTGAAGATATTAATGCGATGTACGTGTAACAAGATATACTGTTTACCTATAGATTTAGGCATGTCCTGCAAAGTCCTTTTTAAAGATTAATATTATTTGGTAGCACTAGTGTTAAGTATCAGTCTTGGTGACAATTGTATGATGTTAAATGATAAATTCACTTAAACGTAATCTCATCTAATTTATTTAATTGAACATATTAAATGTGGTCGCCTAGATTGGTGTTTTACCTCCATTAATATCAGATAACATTCTTCTTCTTTAAAAGCTCTTTTAGTCAGACAAAATACATTTAAAAATATCTTAACATGTTCAAAAACAGTTTCTTAGTATTATAAACAACTTTATCTTTACAGAAGTTCAACCAAATGAACCATTAATATGCACTCAGGGCTTATGAATGCACAAGGCATCAAATCAGTATTTATGGGGCTTTCCATTGATGGAAACTCACCATTTATGGAGTGTCACATTTTAGATTTTACCACTTACCACTACGGCTAATCTGCCTTAATTGAGCTTTAATAATGATTTAATTTTAGATACCAACTTAGGCTTGATGTCACCAAGCTTCGACCAACGGTATCTAATGGACGACACCAAGTGCTCTTCTCACCCACTCGAAAAATATTTGATCTGAAAAGTTATTCGTAGGTAAACGTGTTACGCATAACATGACACAACACTTGAGGGAATAGATTTGGACAGAGCAGTCCAAGTTCAAGATAGCTCAACACATTTGGAACCCGACGTGATACAAAAAGGCCTCGTTTCGATAAGAAAAAAAGTGAAATTCCGGTTTTAAAGTTCATGTAAGAGCTCCAACTAAGATTAGTAAGCTCGGATAAAGATGAGAGCTTCCAAACTCGTATCTTGATAGAGTTAGCTGCCAAATGTTAACAAACTTAAATGCCCAACTTGAAGCTCTCAAGAATGCAACTAATTTTCTCTCAATTCTGTGTGCTACTTTCAGTTGAAAAGTTGGGCCTACAGTCATACTTAAGGATTCTGTACTAAACATAACGTAGAAATTCACATTCAAAAGAAATATAAACGAGTTAAGGATTTGTGCTACAGTCATACTTATGGTTTTTCACTTCATATTTAGCAACACTTCATCAGGAATTTTTACTTATGACATCAGCTTCATTCTTGCTGCACTCATCGGCGTCTTCATTACAATGTTTCATTATCTGAGTATATTCCTCCTCTGCAATTTTGCTTTCCTCTCCTGGTTCTTTGACAATAACTACAGGGAATTTCAGAGGCTTCTCGGGCCATTCTTGGAAGAACGAATTCATCACCATGAACCTAAAAGCCTGCAACAGATGCCGCTTATCTCTTCTAATATCAGAACTCAAAAGTTTCTGCAAAAGAGATGGCTCCTTTTTGTTAGTCGTACATTGTTTCATGGAGCCATCATTTGCCACACTCTGCCTCTTAGTAAAGTGATTGTTTTGACCATGCAAGTTTGCTGAATCATGGTTTAGCCTTTGCCTCTTAGAGAACCGGTCATTTTGGTGGAATCTTCCCCGTTTGTTGAGACCCTTCTGAAACCTTTCCCTCTTATTGAATGCCCTTTTATTTTCTCCCCTTTCATCTGCTTGTTGCACAGAATCTGATAAATAGCAAGATGGTATTTCTGCAACTTCACAACCCAATTCAGCTTGCTTCGCTAAGACCTCCTTGAGTTGCTGCAAGAAAGTTGGAATTTGTAATCCGTTTAGAACATTGGAAAACAAGAATCTTTCAGAAGTAACTAAGAGCTTGTTTGGGTTTCATTATAATCACCATATAATTTAAAGTTAAAGTCAAACATTAATTTCAACCACCCATTCGCTACTGCTACCCGCTTATTATCCACATATTTTGTGGGACCTATTACTCGTCTTCATTATAATCTCATTATAATTTTTCCCAAACAAGCACAAAGGTTTTTCATATTTACCGTTGAACTTATTGAGAGAGGTGTTTAGTAGATGATGGTGACAAATGATATCAATAAATGACAAGGAAGGTGAAAATGAACAGAATCATCAAGCATATAAACCTGTAGGCACCATATATATACCCACTCCACGTCAAGTAAGTAGCTAGTATCTATCCGACCAGTAGAAGGAAATACCAAGGGGACTTGTGTGCATTTGCAAGGAACCAGTCCTCATCGTGTGACTTCATTAACAATGCAACCACAATGAAAAAGCCTGAGTCATAAATGATTTCACTTCTTCACTTTACAGTCTACAGGCAGTGTTCACCAATCGGTGCTTTTAGATTCAGTTTTGTATATCTACGGTCTCCTATTCGATTTTGGTAAATGGCACTTCTGAGGGTTATTTCCGGAGTAGTAGAGGTTTGAGGCAAGGGGATTCGTTGTCTCCATTATTGTCTGTCATTGTTATGGAGGCTCTTAAGTAGTATGCTTGAGAAAGTTGTGGGAGAAAGTCTGTTAAAGGGCTTTATGACTAACCAGTTACAGGTATCCAATTTGCTATTTGTAGACGATACATTAATCTTTTGTGATGCAGAGGCTGAGCAATTAAAGAACTTGCGTCGTTTGTTACTATGCTTTGAAGCTGTATTTGGATTGAAAATTAATTTGGGAAAATCTAAGGCCATCACAGTTGGGGATGTCGCTTATGTGGAGGAGTTGGCGGCCATATTGGATCGTAGGACTACGCAACTGCCTATGTCCTATCTTGGGCTTCCCTTAGGAGCACGGTTTAAAAACATATACATTTGTAATAGTATTGTGGAAAGGGTGGAGAGGAGGTTAGCAGGTTGGAATCGTATGTACCTCTCAAAAAAAGGCCGTCTTACGCTCATTAAGTCCACTCTATCAAATCTACCCACCTACTTCTTATCATTGTTTCCTATCCCCATTAAAGATTAGAGATGATTCAAAGGGAGTTTCTATGGGACGGTTTGGGGAAGGAGAGTCCCATAAAAATTGGGAGCCTCGGATTGAGGAGTTTTGTATTGTTTAATAAGGCCTTGTTGGGTAAGTAGTTGTGGCGATTCGGTGTGGAGAGGGAAAGCTTTTCGAGAAAGATTATAGAGGCGAAATATGGTGTTCTAGAGGGGGAGCTCAGTCAAAGATCGTGGTTCTTATAGGGTGAATTTGTGGATGTAGATTGACGTATGAGTGGGGAATAGCAATACTATCAGATTCTAGGATGATTGTTGGTGTAGAGATCGGCTATTAAGAGCAGAGTATCCTTCCATGTATCGTATTACTTTGATGCCGCAGGCTATGGTGATGAGGACATCACCTATTTTGGGCTTTTACTTGGTTGTTTTTATTTCATGCTTTATTAGTTTAATTGGGTTGGCCCAAGGCCCTTTTATGTTTTGGAATTTATATATGTATGCAGCCTTTATGTGAGAGACAGATTTGATGTAATGAAATGAATTGAGTGTTGCAGACAAGTTTCTTCCTTTTCCACCGCCCCTCTTTCTCTTCTTTCTTTTTCTTCTCGTCTTCTTTCTCGTTCTTTTCTAGTTTCTACTTCCCCTCTTCTCCTTCCATGTGATTGCTTCTATGTTTAAGTAATCCTACATCACTCTATGTTTATGTAATGCTACATCAACTTAGTTTCAGAGCCAAACTTGGGATTTTTCATGCATCAGAATAGTTGCAACAACCCAGCAATCTTCCTCGTGTCAACAGTTAACAGCCTACCCTTCATTGAGAGTCCAGACGTCCAGTAAACCCAACACTTCATCCGCTACAATAGACATATATTCAGCCCATCATCCTACAACTTTCCAACACCCCGGAGTTTCTCAAAACCTGACTCTCCTACACCCCACGTCTTCATCCAAATTCCCCACTATCGAAAACACAAATTCATAAGCCCCGTAACACGGTACTTTACCGGCAACTACACACCGCACGCCACCCATCAATTACCGACGCCAACCGCCATACCACCACTATCCCTTTCACCTTCTACGATCTCCCACCTTCAATTGCAGTCGCCGACAACCCATAGCCCACACACAGAGACCTCTAATCCAACCCAAAACCTTCAGCCTCTTCATCACTTCTAAACCAGCGACCCAAGCCTCCCATCACACTAAAACTCAATTCAAACCACCGCCACAGTACCTTCACTCATGGCAACCACCAACCTTCGCCAACCCAAGCCACCACGTCGTCAGACCAACACGAAAGGCGAGCCAGTGTCTTCTCTAAGTTGCGCCGCTCGCGACAGCCAGAAGCTCTACCTTGCGTCCGTCGATACCACCCGTAACCAGCACCGCCACACCAACCGCCAGTCGTCCTCACAGCAGCGCCGCTCTTAATCACCTCCACTCGACCCAAATCTCATACAGATCGCGTAGATATGGTGGGGGAAAATGACTGGGCTAAGATTGGGCTTGGGCTTATGTTTGATTGAAAATTTGAATTTAATTTGGGCCCAATTTTGCAAAGTGGGCTCAGTTATTGCCCTATTGTTCATATGTAATTTGGTTTGATTTTGCAAGTGAAAAAAAGGAAAAAAAAAAAAAAAGAGAGAGAGAGACCAAAAAATATATTTTCTAACATCATTTTGCAGGTACCTCTTCTTGTCCTGTTGATCGACCCAGTCATTTCAGTGAACAAAAAGGGGAATTACCGAATTTTTATATATATTTGATTTATATTACTGTTAATTTAAAATTACATCAATATTTTTGTGTGATGATGTTATTCCAGTTTGTACCTAACTCACATAATTGGACACGTTACCTTCATTAAATTCCACTTTTACCTCACTTATTTTACGTGATTAGGTTTTGACTAGTATTTGATCCTTACTTTGCTATTTTACATATACTAGCAGGATAAGCTTGCCGTATTTGGATTTATTTAATCTTAAAATTAAAAATTTTAAAAAAAGGGCTCAAGTTGTTATTTTTCATTGCTTGCACTTATTGTTCATTGATCTCTCTATTACACATCATTTAGCTATTATACAACGATGCATACTTGTCAACTTGTCACTAGTATTAGTACTTAAATATGGACTCTTCACAATTTGATGCGCTCACTCAACAAATAGCAGCTATCTAAACAGAGATGACTGCTACTCTTGAAGATAGTAAGGCCCTCTTTGCTAATTTGAACAATTTTAAGCAAATCCCTCATTCAATCGACGTTGATAATTCTAAAGTATCCCATAATAGACATTGTCCTCATCGACGAGTAGATCAAAAATATTTTCGACACGATCATAGTGATAGGGATCGAGTTCGTGGGCGAAAACGAGCCTATGACCGTCACGGTACTCATTCCCTTCCTCGTCATAAGGAGAGTTACTTTAGAGAGATTAAATTAAACACTCTTCCTTTTGATGGTTGCTTAGATTTTGAAGTTTTTACTCAATGGACTGCTCTTAAACAAGGAAATCGATTAGTGACTGAGTATATTACACAATTTGAAGAATTTTGAACCAAATGTCATGTCATTGAGGATGAGACCACGACTTTGAGTAGGTTTAGCTCAGGTCTAAGAGATGATCTTAGGCGTGAGCTTTTCCTTCGAGGTGTCACTATTCTTGATTACGCTTATTCTTTAGCCCAAGATTATGAGTTGACTATTAGTACTCCATATGAAAAGCATGATCACCATCGTTCACCCATGTCATTAGCATCACCTCAACATGAGTCTGTCATAAAGCCTTCCTTGTCTAGTGTTCCTTCCATTTGAAAAAATAAGTGTAAAGATCGTGATAGTCCAAGGCCCCCTTCTCCATATAGAAGGTATATTGACAACCATTCTTCTGTCTCATTTGCTCCACTTTCTCCTGTTAAGTCCCTTATAGGACCTCCCCCGTCTAATGTTCCTCCAATCTTGGAAAATATGCGTAAAATTTGTGAAACTCCAAGGACTTCTTCTCACTTGCTATGCATCAGCTGTAAGGACTTTGGCCACATCTCTTCCAAATGTCCTAATCGAGTCTTAATCATAAAAGAACGAAAGAATGTAATAGAAGAGTCTTTAGAAGATTTAGTACATGAACTTAAAATAGAAGATTTTGATGATGATGATAGGTGGCATCCAGACTCTTCCCGAGACTCCAGATACTATGTCCCATGATTTCACTGGTCACTTTTGGAGAACCCAGTTGCCTATGGTTAGCATTAAACCGAAATTCTCCAATGCAAACCAACCTCAAACTGATGGTCAAAATGAAGTCGTTAACCAAAGTCCTAGCAATTTATTCAAATCTCTAGTCCAGTAAAATCTTGAAAATTGAGACTTGATCCCCCAACTGTTCAAATTGCATATAACAATTCTATGAATCGGTCTCTAAGTTTAAATCCATTTGAAGTTGTTCATAGTTATGAGTCTAGGTGGTCGTTAAATCTCATTCCCATGTCCCTGCATGCTAGCGTGTCGTTGTCAGCTAAAGCATTTGTGTATCATCTTCATGACTTGCATACTGAGATCAATAAACAACTTGACGCAAGTAATGCATTATATAAACCTCGAGCTGATTGGCACAAACAACATTTTGAATTTAACATTGGGGATTATGTTACACTGCAAGCCCATAATGCTGGTCCTTTTGAAATTTCAAAGCATGTTGGTTCAAATGCATATGTCAATCATTTTTCATCGCATTATGACCACCAACCTATTTTAATTGTTAAGGGCTTCGACGCTTACAAAGGCTATTTTAACACTTTTGATGATCATTTTCTATCTCCACTTGGGAACTCTCACATTGAATCTTTTGCTATGTCCATTCAAATACTACCTATTATAGCACGCAATGACAAAATTGATGTTATTTTAGATGAACAGATTGTGTTGACCAATGATAGAAAGATTCGGTGCTTTCTTGTTCGTTGGGTAGATCAACCTGAGTCTGATTCTATATGGATTGTCAGAGCGACGCTCCAACAAATCTGGATCAAGCTTGAGTTTCGATATTTGGTTCTTCAGAAAGATCGTCTGCCATGTTCTTTTATGTCTTATCCACTCGACTGAGTCGAGTTTTTCCTCCCACCCTGGGAGAGTTGATGAGGACATCACCTATTTTGGGCTTTTACTTGGGTGTTATTTATTTCATGCTTGATTAGTTTAATTGGGCTGTATTTATGGGCTGGCCCAAGGCCCTTTTATGTTTTGGAATTTATATATGTATGCAGCCTTTATGTAAGAGAAAGATTTGATGGAATGAAATGAATTGAGTGTTGCAGACAAGTTTCTTCTTTTTCCACTGCCCCTCCTCCTCTCTTTCTTCTTCTTCTCCTACTTCTTTCTCGTTCTTTTCTGGTTTCTACTTCCCCTCTTCTCCTTCCATGTGATTGCCTCTATGTTTATGTAATCCTACATCACTATGTTTATGTAATGCTACATCATATGGTGCATGCGCATAATGGGAATCCCAGCTAGAATATCGCTTTTGAGAGGGGTCTACAGGACTGGGAATTGGATGATTATGCACTACTCCTGACCTCTTTGTATGAGGTGCACGTCAGGGAGGGCGAAAGTGATCGTAGCATGTGGAGGTTAGCACGCGATGGCATTTTCTCAGTAAGCTCTTATTCTAGATCTTCATTGGAACCTGAGGAGAGTTCATTCCCATGAAAGAAGGTATGGCGTTGTAAACTGCCCCCTCGAGTCATTTTTTCTATGGACGGTTGTTAAGGGACATGTGTTAACAGTGGATAACCTCCGATATAGGGGCTTTTATGTTACAGAATGGTGCTATATGTGTCGGAGGAATGGGGAGACGATTGACCATTTGTTCCTTCATTATTACGATGCTCGCACCCTATGGAACGATATTTTGGCTTCTCAACACATGGATTGGGTGTTTCCACAGCATATGGAGGATGTTTAGAAAGCATGGGGGAGATGATTTTGTAATAAAGATAGCAAGATTGTTTGAAACCTTGTCCCAGGATACATCATCTCGTGTATGTGAAGGGAGAGATAGCCGCTGTTTCGACGATAATCACGGACAATAAAGCAGATTAAAGAATTGTTTTATTTGACACTGTATACTTGATTTAATGTTGTGGCTATTACTCGCATAGACGGGTTGCCCAATTTCATATTATTTTCGTCTTGTATTAATTGATAATACACTTCCTGTATATTATCTATGATTAATAAAATATTTGATTACTTATCAAAAAAAAAAATCAGTTTCTGATCAGTAAAAGCAAGTCCAGATACCTGACGTCGTATCTTGGCAACTGCATCAATGGCCATGGGGTCTGTCTCATCTTCTTTCAACTTCTGTAAATGAAGTCTATTATAAGACAATTCCATCTTCAAACCTAAATATTACACAGTTATTGCAGATGCACATACTTTCTCAGTCTTGGTTTTCGATGGGTGATTTTTCCTGCGTTCTTCGCGCCATTGTTGAATTTCTTGTTCCGTGTAGTTCAGAGAGAGAGCTCTTAATTTAAAAGACAAGAAAAGGAAAACAAATAAGAATCTCAAACAAGTGGAAGCAAAAGTGAGTGGTTAAAGAAGGCAAGAAAAGGAAAAATATATTGATAACTACAACAGATTCCACAGTTTACAAAAATGAAACTTAGCCCCTGTTTGATCCCCATTAAATTAAATTACATTACATTACATTTTTCTCTATCCTATTTTCAACCACACAATTTTTCATAAAATAATATTACGCGTAAATCGAAAATTTTTCCTTCTTTTTCAACCACTCATTTTTCTAAAAAATACTACTCCCCCCGTTTTCATTTTCAAGTAATGGGAATCAAACATGGGCTTAATGAAATGAATATACAAAAAGCAATTGATGCTAACTCCCAGTGAACATAGATCCACTGTCAATCCAGGTCATTGACAGCACTATATCTGAACAAAAGCTTCTGCCATTACTAAATAAATTAAACGGCTTCTCTGACAGTCACTGAATGCCTCTTAACAAGACAAACATGCATCAATAGGCCCATGGTTTGATTATACAATATTTGGGGTAAAATAGATCCTAATTTGAACACTGAACCTTTGGCATCTCTTAGATTAATCTCTTAACAAAATTAAATACCTATTGAGGCATTAAGACAACTTCAACCCAATCGTGTCTTTAGTTCAAAAACATTTAAAAAGAAAAAAGCAAGGATTAAAATTAAAATATTAAATAGAGAAGGGGGGGGGGGGAATGAAAGTGGGTAATAGGGTTCCTTCCTTCCGAACTTAGAGCTATCAGAAAAGAAATGAGCAATGATTCTACTTTCCCTGCATCTACATTAAAAATAAAAAAATAAAAATTATTCATACCTTCTTTCCCTGACTTGAATTAGCTTGTTGGAATCAGAGTGGGTAAGGTTTACATTCTCATGCCCTGTTTATTACACAAAAAAAGGGTGTTACACAATACTAGAAAAACCATGAATAATGGATACTGGTGATGAATGAAAAACAGACATCATTAATAGGAGATGTTAGAAGTTAAAAGCCAGAAAGTCTATACGATTCAACAAACTTTAGAGGCAATAACTGTAATGTAAAACAAGTTTTGCCATAGAAGTATAGATATAAATAACCAAATGTTGGAAATTTAAGACCTTTTGAGGCTGACCATGTATGCGTAAGCAAGGTGTCTATATATATATATATATATATATATAAAGATTCACCAATTAAATAGTGTGTCATGTCATCGGTGCTCAACATAAGCTAAGCACCGGTGCTTAGGAGATTATTTCCGTTATATGTGTGTGCGCGCGCACGCGCGCTTAGCTTATGCTAGGCATTGGTGACTGGCACACTAATTGCTCTGGACACTGGTGGTCTCAAAAAAATTCTACCACTAATCATCAAATGACTTGTAGACAAATCCAAAAGAATCAACAAACAAATCAATTCAATTGCTGAAACTAGATTCGCAGGAAAGTTACTACTTTTAAGATGTAATCCAAGAATTATTTTATGAAAAAATTCACTCCAAAACATGAAAAGATTGAACCACTGAAATGTGTGGTAATGTACTGAGAGATTAATAGTGGTAGACTAAACTTTGGAAATATCCAGCCACTAAACCCTTCAAATCCCCAACATTCACACAGTGAATAGATCTGCATTACCCTATCAAACCTCAATTCACCTTCTTTGTTTGGTGAATTTAATTTCTACATTCAATTTCTCTCCTGTCATGAATTTGAAGCAATAGCCCAACATTTTTTGCTGTTGTTGAAGGAAGCAAAAAACTTGAAGTCTGAATATTTAATTTGATTTTCAATGACTCGCTGCTGTTGTTTCCGACACTCACAGCGTTGGTGGGGCTGTCGTGGAGAATTTATGGTGGCTAGGATGGGGGGAATGGAAGCCGTAGGAACCGATGGGGGCAAGGGTGGTGGCTTGGGATGGGGTTGGGAGATGTTTAGGAGTAACCTCTGCCCTGGAAATGTGTGTGCAAGATGAAGAACAGATTTACTATTTTTCTGCTTTTTTCAAAAAATAAAATAAAATTGCATCTGTTTTTGTATTTAAACTTATGGAAATATTGTCTTTCTACACTAACTGTAATATTGGACCAAAACTGTTATCAAGGACGATAGCCACTAATTTACCAAAGGTTTAGGACGCGGATGCCAAGAAACAAAAGTAAGGCATAGAAGTGCAAAAAAAGTAAAGGTTGGGATGGTGGCTGCAATTTACCCTATATCATATATATATATAACCATGTGTGAGCTGCCACCGAACTCTGTTACATCGGAATGCAATAGCAAAGCAGAGATGGTTTCAAATGATGCTAGTTAGTAGTTTGCCTAGCACATTTTTTCACCCACAAAAGGTATTGCAAGGGAATCACATGGAACCATGAAATCCATAATTGGTGATTCATTCATCACAATGGCACAATAAATAAGAACATTACTCATTTGTTTACAAGGAATTACTCAAATTACTAAGATTAATCATACTCGTCATCATCGTGAAAGAGGGACCGCTGAGAATTAGAGACGCCAAATAATGCAAACCTTGTAAGTTTCACATAAAAATTCTAGTTTCCCACACTGAAATCAACAAAAAACGTAAAAGTATCCATGGATGCTATATATGTAAATTTACTAGCACAAAGATGCTTCCCTCTAGACAGACATGCAGGCACGTGGACAATCCCAAATTACATTAGTGTTAACTGATTTGAGAAAATCTCAATTTTTCTTATATTATTCACCAACGGGTTACACACACATATATACATACAACTGATATTTCTCAAAAGGAAATAATCCTATCTAATAAAGAAATATTCTAGACATGTACACCTACCATATATCTATCAAATTCATGCTTAAATTAATGCGGACAGTTCATAACACTCCCCCTCAAGCTGGAGCATAGAAATCAATCATGTCCAACTTGTTACAAATATAGTTTACTCGATTTCCAGCTAAAGTTTTAGTGAACACATTAGCCAATTAATCCCGTCCTTACATGCTTAGTCGAAATCAACCCTTGCTCTAATTTTTCACGAACAAAATGATAGTCTGCCTCTATGTTTTTTGTTCTCTCGTGAAATACTGGATTAGTGGCAATGTGAATAACTGCTTGATTATCACACAACAAGCTAATAAACTGGGACATATCGATGCTAATCTCCCCAAGTGATGTAACCATATAAGTTCACAAGTTACCTGTGTCATAGCTCGATAATCAGATTCTGCACTTGATCAAGCTACAACACTTTGTTTCTTACTCTTCCAAGACACTAAAGTACCCCCTACGAAAATACAATACCCTGTAGTAGAGCATCTATCCATAGGAGAGCCAATCAGCATCTGAGAAACCAACAAATCTAAAATGACCATGATCTCTATATAGAATTCCACGTCCTAGAGCTCCTTTGAGATATTTTAATATATGAGTTACAACATCCTAATGTGAAGTTCTAGGAGATGACATAAACTGACTAACAACAATTACTGGAAAGGCTATATCCAGATGAGTAATTGTGAGAGTTCAATTTGCCCACCACCCTCTTGTATTTCTCTCCATCTTCAACCCCGAGTTTTACAGTTGGTATCATGGGAGCATCACCAAGTTTTGCTTCGGCTAAACCTGTTTCATCTAGTGGGTCTAAAACATATTTCCTTCGAGATAGAAAATCTCCTTTACCACTTCGAGAGACCTCTATCCCGAAGAAATATTTCAAAGCACCTAACTCCTTTGTCTAAAATTTTGTGCCTAGGAAAGCCTTCAGCATACTTATGCCTCTACTATCACTACTAGTAATCACAATATCATCAACGTATACCACTAATAAAATACACCCCGTTGTAAATTGGTTAAAGAATATTGAGTGATCATATGCACTTTTTTGCAAGCCAAATTCAATTAAAACCTCACTAAATCTCCCAAACTAGGCACGTGGTGATTGTTTCAAACCATACAATGATTTTTGCAGTTTGCATACCTTCTTTGACTCCCCCCTGAGTAACAAATCCTAATGGTTGCTCCATGTAAACTTCTTTGTGCAAATCATCATGGAGGAATGCATTTTTAACATCCAGTTGGTGAAGTGGCCAATGATAAGTAGCGGCAAGAGAAATTAATAACTAAACAGAAGTAAGCTTAGTAACTAGAGAAAAAGTCTCAAAGTAATCCACACCATAAGTTTGAGCATACCCCTTAGCAACCAAATGAGCCTTTAATCGAGCAACAAATCCATCAGGGTTTATCTTGAAAGTAAACATTCGCTTACATCCAATTGCTTTTTTATTTGAGCGGTAAGGAAACCAAATCCCAAGTATGATTACGTTGCAGGGCCATCATTTCTTTCTGCATGATCGCTCGCCAACCACTATGGGACTAAGCCTCAGAAAAAAAATTAAATACTGATACACAATCTAAGGAAGCAGTGAAGGACTTAGAAGATTGATAATGCATGGTAAGAAACAAAAGATGAGATGGGATAAGTACATGATCGTTTACCTTTTCGAAGGGCAATTGGAAGATTAAGGCTAGGATCAGGAAGGAGTGATGAATCCTGAGGCAAAGCAGTAGGTAGAGGCGATAAGTCACGGTTTGTAGTAGGTGCCACTGGAGGTTGCTAGACACGACGAGTGTAAACATGTTGAATAGACGAACGAGAAGATACCCGTAGCACGTGTAGTCACAGTTTAAACATGGAAATCATCCTTAGACTTAATAAAAGAAGGATTAGATACAGAAGTACTAGAAAAGGTGTGAACTTGAAGAACGTAACATCAGCAGATACTAAGTGTCGTCTTAAGTAAGGAGAGAAACATAAATAACCTTTTTTATGTCAAGAATAATCCAAAAATATACACTTAAAGGATCTAGGATCAAGCTTAAAAACTTGAGGTCTCATATGTTGGATAAAGCAAGGACATCCAAATACTCTAGTTTGAGAGGGAAATAGAGTGGAATAAGGAATTTGACCATCTAAAATAGAGGAAGGCATACGATTGATCAAGTAACATGTAGTAGAGACTCCCATCTGTCAAAAATTCTTTTGCCACATTCATATGAAAAAGAAAAGCTCATGCAACTTCCACTAAATGACGATTCTTTCATTCTGTCACTCCATTTTGTTGTGGAGTAACGATACATGAAGATCAATGAAGAACGCTATTTTGAAAAAGAAATGAAGTAAATGTGGATGAGAAATATTTCTTGACATCATCACTCCGTAAGATACGTATAGATTTATTAAATTAAGTTTTGATCTTATCATAAAAGGTGCAATGATTTTTCATAAGATATAACCAAGTAACCCGAGAATAATCATCCACAAAGGTAACAAAATAACGAAAACTAGTCTTATATAAAATAGGACAAGGCCCCCAAATATTAGAATGTATTAAATCAAAAGAGAATACATCCTGTTTATTCTTTCTAAATAGATATGGTACCTTGTGGTGCTTTGCTAATTGACACGACTCACAATCTAATTGAGACACTTGACTAAGACTAGGGCATAATTTCTTCAAAACAGGAAGAGAAGGATGACTGAAGTGACAATGGAGCTGCAAAAGAGAAGAGGCACTCATGCATGCAATAGACCTTCGCATCTGTGTGAGAGAAGAGTCGAGCACATACAAGCCATTGAATTCGCGCCCTCTACTAATAATCTACTTCGTCCCAAGATCCTGAAAAATGCAGTGATAGGAAAGAAGAGAACACTAAAATTAAGAGATTTAGTAATTTGACTCACTGATAACAGATTAAAGGGAAACTGTGGTAAACATAAAACAGAAGACAATGGTAGAGAGTTTGTTAGATGTGTTGTCCCACATTAGACTACAGGGGTTGTGGAACCATTAGCTAAAGTAACACATGGTAAATTAGAAGACTGAAATGATGAAAGTATACCTGTATTCCCAGCCATATGATCTGTGGTGCCGGAGTCAACAACCTAATTGTGCGATGAGGTAGAAAAACACACTACATAATTACTTGTGTTGGTTAGAGTGGAAGTGGAATTGGAAGGTGTAACAAGCTATTGAGAAGCATAAAATTGTGTAAGGCGAGTATATTCATCTGCTGGAATCGTAATTTGATGTTGAGATGAAAGCGTAGTAGGTGTTAGGAAGAGACCATCCCGAGTAGCAACACTGGCAAATTTCCTCATAGGAGTCTGACTTGCGTATTTTGCTGGTTTACCATTTAATTTCCAACAATTCATTTTTACATGTCCTTGTTCTCCACAATAATAACAACCATGAGAATCATCACTCGAGATTCTATCTCGACTACCTCTACCTATTCCTTTATTATTATAATTGCTATTTATCTTTGAATTTGTGCCAACTAGAGCTACCGTCTCATTTGGTAATACACCTTGCTCCTTGTCATTGTCTTTGCATATCGAAGGAGACGGCCATACATATCACTCAACGAAAGCAGTACCTCACTGGTGAGTAACTATTGTGTATGTGGCTCATATAGAGTGGAACATAGGTTTCATGGATCAAATAGGCCAATGTCGTCGCTTTGCTCCGTTCTGTTTGGTGCACTACGCTCCCCTTCGTTTGGGTTTAATTCATTGTCTAGTTATTAGGGATGCTGAATGGGTTGGGGTGTGAGGAAAACGCCCACGCGATACGGTACAAGGGGATTTTTTTGTACAAACCTTAAAGTCTTGAATGGACTTGGGCTAGAGTTAGTATAAATAATAATGTTGTAACCCTATTTTTCATACTGAATAAAATTATCTTCGCTTCGCCCTCGTAAATGTAGGCACATAGCCGAACCACGTAAGTATTTGTGTTAATTTTACTCTTTCATCTCTTTATTATTGCGCATAAAATCCAACGATAACTGAGTACGAGCTACCTCATATTCAGAACCCAAACCTGCAGGAAAACACTGGATTACAATCTGCTCTTCTTGTTCTTACATTGTTTTCACATTACTAGTAAAAGGAAACATGGCACGCTTTTCTTCAAATACCTGTTTTATCTTAATATATTATTAAAATAGATTTCGTCCCTTTTGCTTTGCTTGATAAATCTTTAACATTAGTTCATGAATATGCGATACATCCTGACAAACTAAAGCGATCCAATAATAATAGCAGCCCGAACAAAGTAAACCAATCAAAATAAGAAAAAAATAACAAAACTGATGAGTTCTAAAAGGATGAAAGCCCAAGAACACCAAAATCAGTCGACTTCCTCCACAACCCAAAATCAGTCCGTTGGTCCAATCGAATCACTCGTAGGAGGAGAATATCGACACAATGAAGCTAAAAAATTACCGACCTGTGACTCCCATCACTGACCGCTACACACACCAGCAGCGAGAGGCGTCGAAACTCACACAAAAGCAAATTACGATGCTCGAACCAGAGGGAATCTGAGGCAGAATCACGCAACGGTCCTGGACTCTCGTTGCAAAGTAGTCTCCACCACTAACGAAGCCTCTTTTGATCTTTACCCCTCAAGCGGTAACCCAAGTAAGTGTCGATTTATCACCAAAAGTAACCCAAGCTTTTGCCACCACCGAGCAATCCCAAAATTTTTTTCTTCAGGAACTCATAAACCCTTACTCTGATACCATGTTAATTAATTTGGGAAAATCTCAATTTTTCTTATATTATTCATCAACGGGTTACACACATATATATACATACAAAGGATATTTCTCAAAAGGAAATAATCCTATCTAATAAGGAAATATTCTAAACTTATACACCTACCATATATCTGTCAAATTCATGCTTGAATTAATGCGTGTAATTCATAACAATTAGCAAGCGGACAAATTTCCAAGCTTATCGTCCAAGGACATAGCAGCCAATAGCAAAAATGCAGAACTATCTTCGATTCTCTATTCTCTAACATAGGCCAATAAGAGTGAGCAGAGAGCACCACTCTAGACCATAAGCCACCCCATAAGGGTCTGTCTTCTTGGAGGCAAACATCCACTCCCCTTGAAAACATGAACAGTCTCTCTAATTCATTTGATTGCATGTCTTGGATAAGAGGTAGCAAATAGAAAATGTTCTATGTTAAAAATGAAAGAGAGAGAGATGAGGGAAAAGAGTGGAAGAGAAGTTCGCAGCCAACATCTTCCAATATTTATAGCCTGCCAACTAGATAGTTGCAATATCTCGTCCGCCAATGCCAAGACTAGCAAAACAAGGCATTAGAGGAAAGGAAATTATGCCCCTGTTTGGGATCCATTATAATGAGTTTTTGGGGACAATGTAATTTGAAATAGTGATTTTTTAAAAAAATATGTGGTTAAAAAGAAGGAAAAAGTTCTGGGTTTAAATGTAATATTATTTTATTAGAAATTGTGTGGTTAAAATGAGGAGAGAGAAAAAAGTATTAAATTATAATGGAGACCAAACAGGTGCTATAATTTTTTGCAGCTGTGGAAGTTATCACTTTTAGATCAGCATCAATAATATCCAGAGAGTTGTGGAGATAAGGAGATGTATGCAAACTTGTGCACTTTCAACAACAAATAATGGAGCATATTAGTAAGAAAAAAGTATACAAGGGAATGATGTATATCAAATCCCTAACAATCCCCACCTTTTCTTCGGTTTTCATTATTGAACTTGAAATCTGCTATCTTATTTTGCTTATGATGAAACTGCGTATTGGGAAATCTGCAAATAATTAGACATAAGTGAAGCAACAACATCCATTTACCTAATTTATCAATGAACAAATGTAGAAAAAGCAAACGTACCCTCTCTGCGATGCATCAAATTTAGTATTTCCAGTGAAGTTCTTGTCGTGAGATTTTCTCCAGCCATTCTTCATTTTGTTAACCACATTGACTTTTCCTAAATTACTCTGAGACAAGCAATGAAGCTTCAAATGACTACATGACCAGTAAAATTAGTTTATTTACTCAGCAAAGAGTATAAATAGAAGCATACAGTTTCAGGAATATCGGAGCTGTTTATATAGTTCTAAATACCATTTATTAGCTCCTTATTGATTTTAGTATAACAAAAACAGTACCACATAAAGTCTAAAACGCTCATTTGTACACATTCTGGTTTCATTGCATCAACTCTCTTATTGATTATTTTGAGGCACCAAATTAAAATGCAACTTCTCATTAGTGTAGAATTAATATAGTGATGACGCAGTAGACATTGTGTTATAACAATTGGGTAGACAAACATGCTGGTCGAAAACCAAAGATTTTGGCTTGAAACAATTATACTCACCATGTTGAAAATTTTAAGTGTAGTTGTATAAAAGAAAGAGAGAAATAAAAACGGAGGTAGTGTACATTATATACTTATTTGATATTTAGCACAGCGCATGAAATGTTAAGCAAGATTCAGTAAAATTGATTGTGATCTCAAGCAATAAGTGCATAAACGTGTCAATGAATACTAGAAGAATATTACACAAATAAGCTCAAAGTTCAATAGTACACCATAAACACAGAGACACACAAGTTTTCTGTTAGACCCTGAAGAAACAGGAAGGCAAATCCAAAGTATGTGGCTGTGTTGATCGCAGAGCAAGGAGGACCAATTCAAACGGCGAATGGCAGGGGAACCGGAGCTAACTAAAGAGAAGGATGTCGCCCACCAAGTACTTGTATTTAATGCAGAGTGGGAATTATGGTTGAGTTTGTTTAGGGAGTAACCGTTGGTTTAGTTTCTATAAATAGGTCTTTAGGCAGTAGAGTAGGGTAGCTTTTGAATTGATTGTAAATGTGGTTTGCTTCAGCCCTAATTGGAGAATTTCTATTGCAATTCAGAACTTTCTTCTTGAGCTAATTGCTGGGTTCCAACATATCTGGTATCAGAGCCAGGTTACGCCATGGGCACCAACAAGGAGCGATTGGAAAAATTGGAGTTTGAATTGCAAGAGATGCGTGAAGGTTTGCAGCTTTCAGCAACCAAATCAGGGAAGACACGAGCTTAGATGCGAGGAATGGAAGACAAATTAAAGGAGGTCCTAGATTCTTTATCGGGGTTTCATCTTTCTTGGGAGAAATCATCCTAGAACTAGGAAGAGAGGGGGTCGTCTTTTTCTCGAGGAGGGTCTGGTAGAGACGAGGGGTCTCACCAACACTACCACTCGTGTTTCACCAAGATGGATTTTCCTAAATTTTATGGTGAAGATCCAACTGAGTGGCTGAGCAGAGCTTCTCAGTACTTCGATTTTCAAGAAACAGCCGAAGCGCAGAAGGTTGCATTAGCATCCTTCCATTTGGAGGACGAGGCCTACCAATGGTGGCAATGGCTCGAGCGAATCTATAGGGATGAAGGACTGGAGATTACTTGGCGGGTGTTTAAACGGGAAATCATGACTCGTTTTGGTCCGACGAAATATGAGTGCTTTGATGAAGCCTTATCTCGAGTAAAACAAACTGGTTCTCTCAAGGACTATCAACGTAAATTTGAAAGGATAGCTAACAGAGTTGATTGGCCTCAAGCAGCTCTTGTTGGAGCTTTCCTTGGAGGCCTACAAGATGAAACTGGAGATGACGTGCGCATGACTAAATCAAAAACTTTGAGGAAAGCAATTGGGGTGGCCAAAATGAAGGATGACCGGCTCATGAGAAGGCGACGACAAGGGCGAATAGAAATGAACCGAGTTGCACCACCGTCGCGCCCTCCTACAAACCCACAATCCCTCACGGCAGCAATAGCTCCAAATCAGGTGGTTGGCTCCCCAGTTAGCGCTTAACCTGGGAAGAGATGCAGCGAAGGTGGGAGAGAGGCCTTTGCTTCAATTGCAACGAGCGCTTCACCCCTGGTCATAAGTGCAAGGGCCCCCACAACTCTTTTTAATTGAAGGAGGAGAGGAAGAGATTGGAGAAACCAGTGGCCACAACCTCAATACCGGGCCAATAATTAAGGAATTGGAGCAAAAAGGGGTGAGGAGCAAGCGAAAATTACTCTTTATGCTTTTTCATGATGGAAGGGACCTCGTACCATGAAATTATAGGCTTTCATCGGTAAACATGTTATGGTGCTGGTTGACAGTGGCTCAAGCCACAACTTTATAAGTGGCAAGGTGGCCCGTCACCTTCATCTACCGATCACATCTACCAACGAATTTAATGTGAGAATTGCTGATAGAGGACAACTCTGTTGTCAAGAGAAGCACGAAGCAGTCACGCTGGAGATCCAAGGTTTTTCTTTTGCAATGGAAGAGAGAATAGTTGGATATTGTGCTGGGCATACAATGGCTGGTAGAGTTGAGGCCGGTCTTATGTGATTGGCACATCTTATCGATGAGATTTAATTGGCAAGGGGAGTCCAAGGTGCTTCATGGCCAGAAGGATCCTTCTTCCACAGAGATTACAATGTAATCTCTTGAGAAGGAAATAGATTGTGGGAGAACTTTATTTGCTATACTAATCAATGAAACCAAAGAGGGTGATAAAAGTAGTGCCCAAGTGCCACCGGCATAGACCAGCTCTTGGAAGAATTTGCTAAAAAATTTTGAAGAACCTCACTCTTTACCTCCTGTCATGGAAATCGACCATCATATACCATTAAAGGAAAGAGTCTCAGTTGTCAATATGGGTCCTTATATGTACGCTCACTTCCAGAAGAATAAGACTGAACGTTAAGTGGCTGAGATGCTAGAAAATGGGATCATACACCCTAGTTGCAGTCCATTTTCTTGACCGATTTTACTGGTTAAGAAAAAGGATGGTTCGTTTGCGATTCTGTATAGATTATAGAGCTTTGAATGAAGCCACGATTAAGGATCGCTTCCAATTCCGACGATGGATGATATGATTGATGAATTACATGGAGCCAAGCATTTCACAAAGCTGGATCTTAGGGCCGAATATCACCAAATCCGAGTCCATCCGAAGGATGTACACAAGACTGCATTTCGAACTCATAATGAGCATTACAAATACTTGGTGATGCCCATTGGGTTGTGCAATGCACCATCCACATTCTAGGCAACCATGAATGCTATTTAAGCCTCTTTTACGTAAGTTCATCCTTGTATTTTTCAATGATATTTTGATTTATAGCCGCTCATGGGAAGTACACTTGGAACATATTTGAGTCGTCTTTAAAATACTGCAAAACCAACAATTTTTTTTAAACGCTCTAAATGTGAATTCGGACAAGTTAAGGTGGATATCTGGGGCATTTTATTTCCAAGGAAGGGGTACAAGTGGATGAAGGTAAGATCACGGCTATGAAAAATTAGCCAAGGCCTAACAATGTCACCAAGCTACAAGGATTCTTAGGGCTTACTAGGTACTACCATAAGTTTATATACAACTACGGTACAATTGCAGCCCCATTAACACAATTGTTAAAGAAAGAGCAGCTCATATGGGATGAGAAGGCTGAGAAGGCATTCGAAGAAGGCATGGCCTATTTATTCTAAAGAGATGCTCGCAATCATCGAAGCCATTCATTGTTGGAGGCCATACCTATTAGGAAGAAGGTCTCAAATCCCAACTGACCAACACAGTTTGCGGTTCTTCCTACAGCAGTGAGTTTCTACACCAGAACAGCAAAAGTGGGTGACCAAATTGCTTGGTCAGGAGTATGAAATAATATACAGACCTGACAAGGAAAATAGTATTGTGGATTCGCTACCCAAGGAGAATGGAGCACCAACACTTTTGGCCATTTCCAATCCTCAGTTCACAATTTGGGTAGAAATGAGAAAAGCAACAACTGAAAGTCCATGGGTCTAAGAGGTGAAGAGTCGTATGGAGGAGAAACCTGAAAAGATGGCTACTTATGAATGGAAAGATGGCCTGCTTGGTACAAAGGGCGTGCCATAGTTCCACCAGAATCTTCCATCAAACCACGCCTATTCCAAGAGTTCTATGATACCAAGACAGGTGGTCATTCGGGGGGTGTTGGGAACGTGGAAAATGATTGCTCAAGCTTTCCATTAGAGTAGCATGAAGAGAGATTTGTAGAATTATGTGGCAGCGTGTGAAGTGTGCCAATGAAACAAGGCTGATTCCCGTTCACTTGCAGGCCTCTTACAACCTCTTCCAGTACCATCCCAGGTATGGGAGGACGTCTCTATGGATTTTATAAAAGTCTTGCCAAATTCTAACGGGAATAATGCCATCCTTGTGGTAGTGGATAGGCTGTCCAAGTATGCCCATTTCATTGGAGTGAGCCATCCCTTTACAGCCAAGAAAATAGCGTAAGTATACGTTGACAATGTGGCTCGCCTCCATGGTATTCCTCACACCATTCTTAGTGACCGTAATGTTTTAATTACTAGTAATTTTTGCCGAGAATTCTTTAAGCTGCAAGGAACACAGCTCAAGATGTCTTCTGCATATCACTCGGGAACTAATGGATAAATCGAAGTGGTGAACAGGAGCCTTCAGCACCTTCACTGCCTGTCCAATCAAGCACCAAAGCAGTGGAGTCATCATCTTCCTTGGGCGGAATTTTGGTATAATACCACATTCCATCGTCATATTGGGCTCACCTCATTCCAAGCTTAATATGGGAGACCACCACCAATCATTACCAGGTATTTACCAGGAAGTGCAGCAATGCAAGAGGTAGATAGAGAGTTGTGCGATTGGGATGAGCTGCTCAAGCAACTAAAGCAGAATTTAGTCAGGTGGAAGTAGAGGTGAATGGAAGTATTAGTCCAGTGTAAGCAGGGAAGCAAATGGAAGCAGAAGTTTAGTCCAGTGGAAGTACTTGCCTGAGGAAGAAGCTACTTGGGAATCTACCAGGCTAATGGAAAACCAATTTACAGAGTTTGACCTTGAGGGCAAGGTCGAAGTCCCAGCGACGGCACATGTTGACCCCAAAGAAGCAGGAAGGCCAATCCAAAGTATCTGGCTCTGTTGACCGCAGAACAAGGAGGACCCATTCAAAGGGGGAATGGCAGGGGAAC